GTGAGATAGTTTTCTTCAAATTATTAATAATAGTTCTCATTTTTTAAGCTGCTAAACTGTTGATATCTATAATTATTCATTGTTAGGTAAGGTTTTCCAATATTTTGTTTACTTCTGTACTTCTGATTTTATCTCTATTTTTTGTTTGTTTGTTTTGGTGGTGGGGGGGTGTGTGTGTGTGTGTGTGTGTGTACACAAACATGTACCCTTCCAGTTTTCCATTTCTAGGTGTGTACTGAATTACTTTCTTCTGAGTTTGTTGGCTGGGAAAATAGATTATACTTTTGTTCTGTTTCTAGTGGAAAGTAACAATTGTAGTAAGATCTACTTTTGTGCTAACACACATGTATGTATCATCGTGCATGGAGGAGAGTCAGGGAAGTCCTGACATTGTACTTTGGTTCCAGTATATGAATTTCAGGAATTTATCTTTCCAGTTTCAGCTGTTACAGTAATATTTTAGGAATGCGCAGATAGTGACTGTAGCCAAGAAATACTGGAATTTTTATTTCTTGGGTAATGCATTGCAAAGGAAGATGCCTACTGAGATAGGAAATCATGTAAAAACCCTACTGAGCTAGTGTTAATATTTACAATTAGAGGTTAGGGGAATATGGCTTAACAATGAATGTGAGAGTTGTTATGGGCACTATTCCTCTGACTGTTAAAACTGTACTTGCTGTTATCTTTCTACTTTTTAACTCTTAGGTGCCAAGTAAAATTAAAAACAAAGCAAAATAAGTTAATTGTATTTCACATTGGTTTAAGTTCAAAGGTTGAATTGTGTCAAATCAGCTTCATTTGAATTGTACCAAACTTAGGTGAATCTAATTAGAACAGAAATTAGCGTGCTGTGTTCACTAAATTATATTAGCTTTGAAGTCTGCTCTGAAACATGCAGATCCTGTTTTCTCTTGAGGGTCATCTTAGGATTTTAAAAGCAAATCAATAAATAAGAAAACACTTTTGCTAAAGATACTAATGTCTAACAATAGTCTTTTATTACGATTTGCTGGCATGGGCTCTTAACTTAGTTTTTGAGGCTTGTTAAAGTATTGTATTTGTTCTCCTGTATCTTGTGATTGACACAAATCTACATATTCCCATTTTGTGATACTATAATTGTGTATTAGCCTTGCACATTTAAACTAAAATTGTGTGATTAATGCAAATAGCATGTGGTGTGTTAACCACAGGCGTGTTTAAAAGCATGAATATACTTTCTTCACAGTTCTCCTGTGGTCTGGAAGATAAAAAATTAAAGAGCTGAGTAATGTAAAGGACTCTTGAATGTGTTTAGCGTTTGTTAAATTTCTTGATGAACTGCTGGGAAACACTTGCATAGTTCAGGAAAGAGAGAAAAGCTGAAAAAGTCTTTTGCTCTTTAAAAGCCTGATTTGCTGGTGCTCGGATATTTCACTATAGAATTTACTCGATTTGGGGCAAAATATTTTGAGAGCAGCTCCAATAATAGAAGAAATTCTGCTTTAATGGTAGAGCTTAAGCTGTGTGGTGTGGAGTAGTGTTGATTATAGCGGTTCTCTTGAAGCATCGAATGTCTTGTAGAAACGTTAAACCAATCTTCTGTACAGCATTCTATTTCTGGAACCTGATGCAGAAAATAGTGTTGAATTCTGACAAGGAAAATCAAACCCCTTTATAATTCTTTTCTTCCAAAGGGAAGTTTCTGAACTCAAGTTTCTGAGCAGCCTGTAGAGAAGGAATTCACTCAGTGAAGACTTTGCCTTTCTTTTCTTTCTTTCAAAAGCAGTTAGTTTCCTTCTATCTATAAAGGGAATTTTGAGGGCACCTGTTTTGGTTGTTCTACTCCTGCTTGCTAGCAGTCGTCTTTATTTGAGTTCTTTCATCAGATGCTTCTGAGAACAGAGCTGGAATCACTGTTAAGAACGAACATTTTCTGAGTTCCCCATCAGTACAGCAGGAAGAATTCTGTTCCGAGTTGTACAGGAGTGGGAGGGAGGGCACAAAGTTGAATCTAGGACAAAACGACTCCCAGTGATGAAGTAAAACATGTATTTGTCCAAATGTCTCCCTGGAAGAAGAGAATCTGAAAAGGATTTCAATTTTAGGAGAAGAATAGTTTTTCAGATGGAGGTCAATTTTTATGAATCAGAACTGCTGCAAATCACATTTATTTAATTGTTGATAGATATTAACATTGGAACTTTCTTAAGAGGACTATTTTTATAGCCCCACTTGTCTCGTATGTACCGCTTACAATTACTTGATTCTTCACTTGATTCTTTCATTGTGTACGTAAATGAAATGTGTATTTAAAAAAAAAATTCTTTCTTCTTCAGTATCCAGATGTTTAGGTCCTGTTTCCATTTCAGGGTTCAAGTAAACTGATTCTCTGTTTACTATGTGCTACTTTCTCTCCTCTTTGAGTTTTAGGAAGGGTTTGTTTTAAAATGATTGGACCTGACCACTATTCAGAAGCTCAGCTGTTTCAGTTGTTGGTAGCTGGTTGTACTATAATGCTATGTCACTATGCAGGCTCATCAATAAAATAGAAATTATCTCAGTATAGTTGCTTTTTGCATTGTTTTTCTTACCTGTAGATGAACCAGTTTTATTGGCATGTTATAGTTACTGTAGTAATTAGACCATTGTATAGCTGTAGAATAGTTCTTTGAAGGAAAAGCCAGAAGCCAAAAGGTAAATACAAATGTTGGCCTAGGAATAAACAATCTCATGCCTGAAACAGAAGTAAAAAATTGGAATCTATAATAGAGTTTCATCACATGAGACTGTCACTTGAATAGCAGCTGTATCCCAAATACCTGTCTTTGTATGATACTGCTCTTATCCTGTAGACTTTGATCATTAGAAAAAAGTCCGTGAATGTTTAGGAGGAAAACACTTCTGGATTTAACTTTGGTAGGCAATTAAGGATAGATCTGTTTATTACTTGGCTGTTGGTTTGCCTAAAGGTACAGTCACTTTTAAAACTGTTGTGGTTCATATTTTTTAAACAAAACAAATTTGATGTTCCCAACAAATTTAAACCATATTTAAGTAGCAGCACAATAGAGGATAAATAAAGGGCTGGAGATAGAAGACCAGCTCTTAGTTTTTTTCCCCTAACCCATCTATGTGGTAGCAGGCTGGTATGTTAGATATAGTAGAAGACATCCAGACAAATTATAACACACTCATATAAAAGAGAATGTCTCCACTTGTATCAGTGGTCTTTGAATCAACTGTTTAAGAGTGGACATCACGATATACCTTGTCATAGATTTGGCTGCTGCTGACAGTAGTTTATATACTTCTTTGTGAAGTAAGTTACTATGTTTGATTTCCTCAGGACCTCTGAATTACTTTGTTCACTACAAATTAGCATGCTGGAAAGTCTTTTAAGTCATACTTTTATTAGTTAGTATAGAATTTGCCATCATGATTTGATTGTATGGTTTGATAAAGATTTAAAAAAATATCAAGCCTGAGTGTGCATGCTAAAATAATTACATGATGACTATTTACTTTAAGATTTATCATCCATAGTTACCTTTTTTTAAAGAAAAAAGATACTTTTAATGACGGTAGTCTGCATGCAGTATACTTGTTATCTGTTAAATTTGTAGTGTGACCTCAGTACAGAACACCTAGGTTTAGAATCTGGTACTAGTCTAATGATGGAAATTTTTATTTGTTTACTTACAGTATCAGAAATTAACTTAACCTGTTTTAATATAACATCTTATTTTTTATTTTTTTTATAACAGGCCAGCTTTTTTTCCTGCCAGCAATTTCTCCGTGGTATCTGTAGGGCATTGTTTTTTTTCAGCACACGGGAAGACTATACAACCTCTACTGTTACTGAAGTGATGCCTTATAGACAGGATTTAAGAAGGCTGCATTATTAAGCTGAAAAATTAGTGTCCTCAAAATCTTATGAGCTTTCTTTTTTGCTTCGTGCTTTTTGGTTGTAATACTGTCAAATATTCGTATCTTAATTCTACTGAATGAATTTTTCACAACTTGGAAAGGAAATGGAGCTCTTCATAAATTATTTCTTATCAGTTACTGTTTGATTTATATATATTCTGTGATGATATACACGAGCACAGGAGGAAGAAGAAAGCAATTGCATATAAATACTAGCGATTTGTGTTTAATGTTCTGTAAAATACTGTGTAAAATTGTGTAAAAAGTCACCAGGTTTCCACTGGAAAATAGCAGGTCAACCAAATTCTCCTAAATCTGTTTAGTGAATCATTTTCTTGCAACTTTTTCTCCTTCTAATACTGTGGCATTTCTTCCTATATCTTGTCAAAAGTGTATTATCAAGAGAAGAAGGAATGATCTTCCTATTTAACTTTCCAGATTTTTTCTTACATAATCTAAAAGGGGAAATATTTTTAAATTGTTAGCTCATGTCTTATACAGAGCCTTAGTTCTGTTTCTTGCTTATTGGATTTTGTAATTCGCCTTTTTCTTAAACTTGATGCATGGAATGTGGACTTGGACTATATTCATCACGTGAATCAGATATGCTGTGTTTTTAGGGTGAGATTTTTTTTTTTAAAGAGCTGTCTTAAGTGTGTTGCTATTGAAGGTAGTGGAAACATAACAGATCTCTGAAAGCAAAGCTAAACTAGTAATACTGTTTTAAAAATTTAGGTTTAATCTTCATTACTTTCTCACTGTTGGCTTACTTGGAACATTGATATTACCGGGAGCAGATTTGTGCTGTATCTGTGCTGAAGCTTGAAATTGACCGCATTCCCATTATGGGTTTGTTTTTTTTTTTAAGAATTGGTAGAGGCTGCTTTTGTCTGAGATTAGTCAAATTACAGGTCTGTATTTAGATTAAATTTTAATTTTCAAAAATATACCAGCTCAGATTTTTACGTTATGTTTTTATAATCCCAGAATTCATTTAAAAATTATATTTTTGAAAAACGTTGTCTGTGACTTACTTCTTACTGTAATGGGAGTAGTAATCATTCCTGTTGTTGATTTTACTTTACAAGGTACCCAGAGAACGGCATAGTAGAAATGGACACCAGTAATCTTCGACCCCGAGCACGAACCATTCTGAAGTGGAATGAACTAAAAGTGGGTGATGTGGTGATGGTTAACTACAATGTTGAGACTCCAGAAGAAAGAGGATTTTGGTTTGATGCAGAAATTACCTCTTTGAGAGAAATCTCAAGGACTAACAAAGAGGTTCATGCTAAAATTCTGCTGGGGTAAGATTTGTTTGACCAATTAGTAAAGTCTGTTTAAATATCTTATAAAGTATGTTTTTTGTCTGCTAGTCATCACTAAATTAAAATTAATGTGATACTTCATTTCCACAGCTGTTTGAGTCATGGGATTACAGTGCATGATTGTTAGAGTGTGGAAACTTAGTCATATAGTTGGAATTTTTGCTTTTCCTGAAGTTGCTGGAGGTAATTGTTGGGTTTCATATATTATCTGTGATTCCAGAGATCGGAGTATACGCGTGTATATATATAAATATATATTCAGTTCTATCAAAGCTGAACCATATGCTTTCAGTAATTTTTGAGTCATCTGGGAATTTCTAGATGTTACCAAGTATTGCTTGTCTCTTGCAGTACGAGTAAGTCTCTGAACTGGCTGTTTCAATTTTTAAATGCAAAAATGTTCATCAGGAAAGTTTAGTTTGTGATAAGTACTAGAATGCTAGTGGAACTGCAGGGTGCAAATATTACTTGAGTTTTCATATGCACTGACTTACCTAAGATTTTTGCTTGGTTTGTTTTCCTGTTTGATTTAAGAACTTGCACATAGGTCTTTTGGAACCTTCTTTTCTGCAGAAATCCATATGACGTTACTTTAAATAAGTATGTGACTGCCTTCTTAGGAAAGAAAGGATGAGCAGTCTTTATGGACAATCTCACTGAAGAATTCACTCTAGCCTTCTTCCTCCCATCAGCTTTCTTTTGTTCCTTTAACATAGTCCTTTTCGCACCGTATTGTATTCACAAAGGAACTGAATGCGATTGGATCCAGTCTGTCATCTTCATCCCTCCAGAAGAGGGAGACAGGAGCACTTGTATACTGAGAGTGAAACTGATGTTAAAGCTGACAACTGGAACTGAAGTGAATATTTCTTTTTACTTAAATGGTTAAGTTAATGTTGGCATGTCCTACATTTGTTCACTGAGTAGCATCATAGTTTTGGAAGTATACTCCTTAAAATGAATCAAACTATTTAGATTTTAGAGTATTTTTCACTGTGAGAAAGGAGAAATGTTGGGTAGGTAGGAAGAGTTGCAATGCAGGACATTATTAATTGGAAGAGACAGAAGAAGTACGATCTTAACGCCATTCAAAATTTTGCTTAAAAATACTACAATCATGTTTAGTGTAGGGATATATGAAATACAGTGGCTAGGTAACTTATGCGAGTAGAAAAACGAAAATGAAAAGTCTGAAAAAATTTAAATCTGTTTTATGTGTGGTTTTAAATTTTAGAATAGCAGGATTGTTTTCCAGAAAATAGCAGGGACTTTTTTTTCTAGTGTTATATAAAGCAGGCACATGAGCTTGTTCTGGGGACAAAGCCAAAAGAATTCAAATGTAATACGGTAAGAAGCTGAGTAGGAAGTCTGAATTATTAACCATTAACTTAAAAAGGAGACAAGTTAAAGAAACGGAAGCCAATCCAGAGAAGTGATTTTCATTGTAACACGTTTAATATTTGTACGACGTTCTGTGAACCACAGAGATGGACTTCATGACCTACTACAAACAGCTGTCCAAATACCAGTTTACATGAAGTTGAAATATCTATTGATAACGTTATTTAAAACAGTTGTTTGCAGGTGTTGGGGTTATTGGGGTTTTTTGGCAGGTTAGCTTTCAGAATTTTTCCCATTTTTTTTTTAAAACATGATAACCAAAATGTTTATATCAGCAAAAGCAAGCACATATTTCAAGTGGAGACTAATTATAAAAATTCTCTTCATGCTGGTTAGAACTTCTAAAACAGTCTTTCTCTAAATCTAAGCAAGCTGATAGGTAAGGTTTACATGTAAGTACACTGGAATTCCCCCTACTATTTGTATTTCACTGCCCTCTGGAATAAGTTGGTAAAAATCATGGTACACAAATACTGTATTCTAAGGTGGTGAATTTGTTTTGACCATGTTAAGTTCATTTTCTAAACAGAATCTTGTTTCAGTGAGTATTTTGCCTGACAAAGAATTGAGGCGTTATTTACATATCAATAGATTAGATATGTGGCCGGTAAACCATGACGGTTGCACAAAGTAGGATGTTTTGAGCCCTGCTGTTTCTGTAAATTATAACGGAGTAATTCCAAATCACCTGGGCTACCTCAGTCAATTAACAGTAAAAATACAGCATAAGTCTCCTGGTATTGATAAGCTGATGTGGAGAGCATGCATGCTACAACAGGAATCACTTTGCATTTCAAGTGTGTGGGTTTGTGAAACAGTAAGGGCTTGTTTTATGTTAATGTTTTTAATATAATGTTAACATTAGTTCCTATTACAAAATTAGCATTAATAATTTTTTTTTAAATGTAATCTATCCTGAAGGTTTTATGGGCATATCTTAGTGATTAATTTTGCGCTACTTAAGAAGATACTTGGCAGGCAGTAAAGGGAATCAGAGCTCTTACATACTGAGTTGCTCCAGACGTGTTCACAGCTGTGACTTTTCCCTTTCTTATGTTAAAGAGACTTTGTATAAAACAATTAAAGTAGGTTTTGTACAAAATAGTGCAACTTTTGATTGATGTATTGATCTTGATTGCTTTTTACAGAGGTTTCATGGAGCTGTTGGCACAATGACAGGAAATAACAAGGACATGTATGTGTGTACTGTTTATGGTAATGTTTTAGAGACAGTAGAACCTGTGATTAATTTTTTTTACTGTATCTGTTGACATGCATATCGCTTAAGTGTTATTTTTATTCATGTCTCAATGACAACCTAATTAAAAATCCTGTAAAATCTGTCATCATTAGTCTGTTTTAGAAAGAAGTATAGACTAGAGAACTTTATCAAAGAGAGGAGTGAGACTGAGCAACAGAAAATAGACCAAAGAACTAATCATATACTCATTATACAGAAGAACTAATCATACACTAACAATTCTCATTTGTACTGCATCTGTGTTGCAATTGAAAGTTATAATTGTAGAATGTCCAAATAGGACTTACTGCATCTCAGATACAAATACCAGCGAAGCTGTGGTGCTTTCAGCATGCACTATGCTACTGTGCCTGGGACTGTAGTCTTCTGTGACTGTGTGTGCACACTTACAGGTCAGAATTGTCTTTGTGTGCATGTATGTATGAGGGGGGTTACCTCTGGATTGGCTTGACCTGAATTTCAGAACGTACCTCTGAATTTTTAAATGTCCTTTATTCTTCTCTTTTTTTAGGGAGTATCTTAGGTTTCATGATGAAAGCAGTTATTTGTAATCCAGAGTAATACTGTTTGTCTTCTCTGTACCCTCAAGGGCATATATCAAGTGCCTGTTAGTGGAAGGTAATTGTGAGGCAAACTGTTCACAATTTTTCCTAAATTTGATAGTTGGCTGACTTAATTAAAGGCAGCCCAGCAAATCAAACTGAGGTAGTTCATGTGGTTCTTTGCACATTTTTCCTTGCTAGACTTGAAGATAAATTGGGACCAAATCAGCTCTTCTTTTTCTTTGGTCGTCATCTGAAGGTTTGAATTTGACAAAGACCTTTGTCAATGCCATGAGCCTTTTGTTTAAACCTTTGGATTAATTCAAAGGTATCAGTAAAATCAGTTTATTCTGCAGATTTTGAATGTCTTTCATCAAGTGAATATTGAATGAATCCAAGGGCTTTACATAGTAGTGATAATGGAAGACAGTAGGAAGGATCTTAAAATGTATCAGTTTTATGTGTTGATCATATATAGTTCTGCAGACTTTTGTGCGAGTCTTCCCACTCCTAAAATGGAATGGTTTTTTTTGTTGTTTTCAGATTGATCTCTATTTTTTAATATGCTTATTTGGTTTATATATATGTTTTTATATATTTAACTGATCCGATTTTGAACTTATCTTCCTTATTTGGACACATTTTCTGCTTTTTGTAGGATGCTTTACAGTTTACCTTTGCTTTGATTCCTTTTATTCATGTGTCTGGCCAACGGTTTTTTCTCAGAACACAGTATGATGTGTTTGAACAGTCTTCATGCACCCTCTACAAATTTTACTCTTAGCTGCACCTTCTACCTTTTTTGAACAAGCTTTTTGATTTATGTTTAGTTTTTATATTTGAATTCATACATAATTTTTTTTTATCTCTTTGCAAAGATACTAAATTTAAACACATCATTACAGAACAATGAACAAAGTCTTGCACACTGTTCCAGGCCAGTTCAACAATTCCTTCTGCTTTTGTGAATTTCTGTCTGTCTGGTCCAAAAAAAAATCTTTGACAGTTGCACCTCGTTCTTCTATTCGTCTAATGTGTTACTATTATTTTTCATCTCTCTCAGTATGTGACATTCAGCATGTCATGATTGCTGTTTCAATGCTGTTTGGGTGATCAGTAGTGCAGTCCTGATTTTGTGTTTCTCATTTAGGCCTGGAATTTCAATCTGTGTGAATTCTTTCTTACTGATGTTTTTATACTCTTGTGGTATAATTCTATATCTAAATATAAAAATGTCCTATTTTATTTGTTTGTTTTAATATTGCATCTTTGGTACTTGCTGGTTGATCTTATACAACATTGTTTTGCTGAGATGTAGAATATTAATAAGATTTACTTTGGGGCCATTTTTCAAAATAGCTTTCACGCTACAGGGACAAGTATTCTAATAAAGGGTTTTGTTGACTCATTCTTGACCAGGTGTAATAAAGTTAACTTGTTGAAACAACTTGCCTGCAGATTTCTTGCACAAACATAATGACTTGGCTCCATTGCGCAAGACAGTATGTAAGAGTTGGAATGAGGCACAGGATACCAAGGAGGCATTTTGAAAGTGTAGGAATGGCGTTAGCCAACGTTTATCTAGAGCTGACACTGGCAAGCTCCATCAAGAGCAACAGGAGGATCTTTTACCCGGCTTTGGTAGTAAACGTCTAAACAAGGAAAATGTGGGTCTGTTGGTGAATAGGAGGTCATTTAATGACAACAAGCACAGAAAAGGCTGAGGAGCCTTCGTTGTCTCAGCCTTCACTGGATGAGATCTCTCGGGCTGCTGT